GGCTGCTCAAGACCAAGGACCTGGCGCGGTGCTCCCTGCGCGTGGCGCGCTCCTCTCTGCGCTCCCAGGCCCTGCCCGGGGTGGCCGTAAGTGCTGGGCCGCCGCCCCCACTCCTAGTCCCCCATACCCTCCCCCTCCACCCCTGTCCTCTCTCCTCCTTCCCCCTCTTTCTCCCCCTTCCTACCCCTCCCACATCCGTCCTCAGCTCCCGAAAACGAAAGTGTTACCGAGACCCCAAAGGTCCGTTGGCTCGCTACTAATAGCCACTCAGTAACCAATAATCGAGAGACAAGAGCTGGTGTGAAGAAAGGCGACCTTTAATCAGGAAGCCGGCAGTCTGGGGAAATGGTGGCCTCATGCCTCAAAGACCATCTCCAGCTCTCCCGGGTTTGCCAAAGGGTTTTATAGGGATGTGTGGTGGGAAGCTGATTTGTGGTGACCAAGTGGGGATGTGCAGACGTGCCTGAGTGTTTCAGATAATTGTCAAAGAACTTCCCCTGGTGGGGGTTGACCAGTGTCACACTTGGTTCTCCATGGGTTCAATTCTTGTCAACCTCAAGATCAGGTTAGCAAGCTAGTAGAGAACAGCCATCCGGGTTAATCATTTTTCTCCAATTATTTGTGTACAATCTGAGGGCAAGAGTCATTGTGTTCTGGCAATTAGCTGCAGGCTCTGCAGTTTAGGTTACAGGAGAGGGCAAGTTTTAAAATTCAAAGGTTTAACAAAATGGAGTTACTTCTGTTCAGGCTGTTACGATATTAAAAGTCTCAACATCTGAGAGGCTCAGGCAGGCTGTACTTCCTGTGCAGACTCAGGTGTATTCAACTTTCAAACTCAGATTTTATTGTTACTCTCCTTGGTGTTACTGTTGGGGGAACTTTCTTGCTTCCCCTGGTCCTTCTCACCTGCCATGAGCTGCTGTTGCGACAATCAGGTGAGAGTGGGGTGGGGGGTGAAGCCCCCCCCCCCCCCCCCCCCCCCCCCCCCCCCCCCCCCCCCCCCCCCCCCGACGTCCAAGTTGAGGAAGGCACATGGGTTTTTTTTTTGTTTGTTTGTTTGTTTTTTGTCCTTTTTCAGACCGGCCGCACCGCGCTCAGCCAGTGAGCACTGTGAGCGCACCGGTCATCCCTATATAGGATCCGAGCAGGTCCTGTCCTGAGCTGTCTCTTCCCACTTTGGTCCAACAGCCCGGCCTGGCCTCTCACCTGACCTGCCTCCAGAGCTTCCAGGCGGGCGTGCTGAGGGAGGCCTCCTGCACAGAGCTGGACACTGTGGGGCCACTCGCTGAGAAGGCTAGTGCTGTGCACATGAGGACCCTTTCCTCGCTCACCCTGCTGCATGAGAAGCCTCAGGACCCAGCCGGCACAGGTGACTGGAGACTTCCCCGATGGCCGCCATCCTGGCCATCGTGTGACAGTGGATATGGAGACCCTCAGAGGAGCCTGGCAGCCTCGTCTGGCCAGAGGGGCCCAAGCAGGCTTAGACTCCATTGCTCTGTCCCTGCTTGGACACCCCTGGACCATTTCTGAAATTGATCATTGTCAGGACAGTTAGCCTCTTCTAGAAGTTTCTCCAGGCTCTTTCTGCTGGCTCAGAAGGCTCTGGCTTGGTCTTGTTCTTTCTTCCTGACATCCTCAGTGGAGACAGAATATTCTGGTTCCCAGCTTTTATGGGAGAATTCGCCTTTAACTTAATGACTCCTCAGTCTGCCTATTTTTTGGGCAAACTGACTCAGGTTTCCTGATTTTCCAGAAAGTTTCTGCTAACATGTAGCATTCTCTGGAACGTGACTCCCTCCTACAATTTGCACAGGAAGAAAGAAGCAATGCCTGAGTCTGGGGATAAAAGATTTTCTTTTTAATGTTTGAAAACCAGTTATTTCTCTGAATAAGGAAATAAGAATGTTTTTTCTTATTGCTGACATTTTGAAAGGATTTACTGTGAACTAGTAGCTGTGCTGAGCACTTTATGTGAATTATTTAATTTAATCCTCATCATGGCCCTTTTAGGAGGGTACTGCTATTAGTTACATTTTTTAAATAAGACTGTGTTTCAGAGAGGTAAAGTGACTTGTCCAGTCACACAGCTGGTGAGAGGCAGAGCTGGGACTTGAATCCCTGCAGTGTGCTCCACAGCCCTGGCTGGGAATTGCTTTGCCTTGGAGGAAAGACTCCCTGTGTCACCCAGGAGATGGGGCACTGGGGCTTTCCAGCATTCCTTCTGGCTCCATGCACTGCCTTCTAGGATCCCAACGTGACCCACCCCCTACCCCCACCATAATCAACTGTAGAATATTATCATCACCCTAGAAAGAAACCCATTAGCTGTCAGCCATCCCCCGCCCCGACCCTCCCACCCTCCCCAGCCCCTGGCAACCACTAATCTACTTTCTGCCTCTATGGTGGTGCCTATTCTGGACATTTTCTATAAAAGGTATCATACAGAACGTGACCTTTTGTGTCTGCTTTTTTTTTATTTAGCATAATGTTTTAAGATTCATCCATGTTATAGCAGGGATCAAAACTTCATTCCCTTTATTGCTGAATAATATTTCATTGTATAGATGAGCTTTTCATATTTTCTCTGCCATTCCCAAGAGGGTTTTGGAGTCAGAACTGGATTCAAATCCTGACTCTGTGGTGTGTGACTTGGGTCACTGGCTTCTCTCTGTGCCTCAGTTTTCTTAGCTGTACATATATGGGTATACCAACCCTTACCCCATAGGGGATGGGGAGGGTTAAAGGAAGTGGTTACATCTTTAGCTGAGGACCTGGCATGTGGCATCTGTAAATGCCAATCCATATTTCCTTTGTACTCCTTCTTTGTAGAGTCTGAATTTCCCAAAGACACAACTCAGAGACGAATCTTTGTCCCTCTTTAAATTCAGGGCCGGACTCAGATGGCTCTGGTCCTTTTATCCTGGGATGGTTGTCTGTGGGGATGGAATCATCTGGTATCCAGCTTTTGTGGGAGAATTCTCAGCGGGTCTTCAGGAACATGCTTTTGTTCATGCCGACCACAGACATTTATCTGAGCACTGTTCTGTGCCAGGCACTGCCTGAGCTTCAGAAATAGAGCTGTGATCATGGCCAACTTGATCCCTGTTGCCCCAAGGCTGACACCCTCTTGGCAGAGAGAAACCACTAACCAAGAAAAACATGGGCAAGGTGGTTTGAGATGTTGATACATGGTAGGAATGAAATTAAACAGCCGTGTGATGGCAAGTGACTTAGTCGGGGTGATCAAGAGGGCCTCTCTGTGGAAGTGACATTTTTGCTGAAGGGTGAGAAGGGGTCGGTTGTGGGGAGATGCAGGAAAGACCATCCAGGGAGGAAACAGGGAGTGTAAAGGCCCTGGGCAGGGATGAGCCCCATGTGTCCCAGGCATGTGGGGCCAAGGAGAGGTCTAAGGGACAGGTGCATGCACCTGTGTCAGACAGAATACACAGTGAGGGTGAGTGCCCAGACCCGGGGACAGCCAGACAATGTTGGACAGTGACTAGAAGGCTCAGTCCTTTGCTAATGAGCATTGAATCCACATTGAGCATTGTGGATTGGGGATTCGGGTAAGGTCTTTGGCTGGGGTGTGGGGGCAGAGCAGGGCTAGGGACAGGTTAAAATCATGGCTGTATGCAGAGCAGCAGGCAGTTTCTGCAATAAACCATGTTTATCAGGAAGTGGCCACAGGGCCAAATGCATGAGAGTAATTAAGATTTGATTTTTTTTTTGACAAGGTGACATGTGACATGGTAGAAAAGGACACAGTTAAAAGTGAGTCCCCTCTCTTCTTGTCTCCCAGACACCCTGAGCTCCTCTCCAGAGGCTGATACCATTCCTGGTTTCTAGAGTATTATTCCAGATACATCCTGTGTACTTACCAAAGTTCATGTGTCCATTTAGGTGTTCCAAAGGCCCCACCTTTCAACACTGCCATAGTCTGATTTCCCATCTTCATAACACTTTCACAATGGGGATCAAGCTTCAGTGAGTTTTGGGGGGACATTCAATCCACAGCAATACCATGTTGCCTGGAACATGCTAGAGGAAGCATTGGCAGTGTTGGGGAGGTGGCTCCCAGGGACCTTCTGGCTCTTTCTGGCAACTGCCATGTGGGCATCCCATCCGGCCCTTCCTGTCTCAGATCCAGATGACGGAGATGAAGAAGAGGTGACCCCGAGCAGCCTGCTGTATGAGTGGGAGGACGCCCCATCCCAGGCTACAGTGGCCACAGCAGCTGCATTAGTGAGGAGGCTGTGCCTGGCTCAGACCACGAGCTTTGAGGTAAGCGGCTTCTCTAGCCCCAGGCCAGAGTCTGCCCTGGGCCTGAGTACCTGGGACACCCTCCTCTTCCTATCCAGATCCTTTATGGCCCAGCCTCCCAGTTGTTTAGTGTCAGAGCTCCTAGATGAGGGGTCTTCAAAAGGTTCATGGAAAGATTTGTATTATCTTTTAGTTCCATTTTTCCATGAACTTTTTGAAGGACTCTCATGTACAGTTGGGCAGGTTGTGCACTGCACAACTGTGCCTGGTTGTGAAAGCAAGGAAGGGGAAGAAATGTAGATGGCGTGTGCTGAGCTAGTGCCCCAGTGCAGGTTGGATACAAGGAGAGGAGAAGCCTTTTTCTTACCTGTCTGTCTAGGGTCAAACAGCATTCCTGTTGGACCCGCAGTCTAATTTTCTAGGCCTGGAGATCTGTCAGGAAAGCTCTAGCCACATCAGGCCTCAGCACTGAGGACTTCGCACAGTCAAGTCAGAAACAGGTGGGCCAGGCCCCCCCCCCCGACTCCCCCATATCTCCTAGCTGTTGAAAGCGAAGTGGGGACACACTGTGGAGGTCGTGGTCCAGAGAGGTCCAGAAGGCTTTGAGATGTCTGGTCAGTTCTTTCTTTTGCGATTCCTAAGAGTGTTCCTGAGACTACTGAGGCTGTGCTGTGATGATGTGCGTTCTCCACTCCTTCTGTTTTGTTTTGAGTGAGAGACTATATGAGGACAGCTTGAGAGAGAACGTTTAGCACAGTCCCTGGGGGAGGAAAATGATGTGTCACTGGACTTGGGGCCTACCCAGATAATCCAGGATGATCATATCTTGAGATCCTTAACTTAATTACATTTGCAAAGACCCCTTTACCAAATAAGGGCCACATTCACAGGTTCTGGGACTTAGGACATGGACATATCTTTTTTGGTGAGGGCCACCATTCGACCCACTACAGATTTATTGAGCACTTACTATATGCTCAGGCAGTAAGCAAAAGGCCTCACTTGTATTAACTAATTTAATCCTCTTAGTAAAATTCTTATCATCATGCCCTTTTTACAGATGAAGAAACTGAGGCTTACAGAATTTTAAAAATGTGCTCAAAGCCACCCGGCTAGTAAGTGACAGAGCTGGGCTGTTAACCCGGGCAGCCTGGCCCCACAGCAGGGTTTCTTACCAGGGGCATTACTGACATCTTGGCCTTGGGTTGGATCATTCTTGTTGTTAGGGGAGAGGCTGTGCTGTGCATTGTAGGATATTTAGCAGCATTCCTGGCCTCTATCCATTAGATGCCAGCATCATCCCCACCTGCAGTCATGACAACCAAATGTCCCCTGGGGAGCACCAGTGCCCCCAGTTGAGAACCACTGCTCTACGGCCTGTGCTGTAACCATGGTACTGCTGAACCTCGTGAACCAATGGGACACCACAGGACAGGCCTGATTCTTCTTGTCTGGCCCTGAGAGCACTCCTTGACCCCCTGACTAGACATTTCCCCTGGCAGAGGTAGCTCAGGGCAAGTGTGCGTGTCTCCCTTCCTGGAGACTGGTAGTGTCTGCCCCAGAGGGCACCATGCAGCTGTCCTGTATTTATGGCAGTAAAAGAGGAAGTAAGTTATTCCCATTGGGAGGTCCCCTGGGCTGGAGGGTGAATTGCTGAGGACCTTGTTCCTGAAAATGGCTTTCCAGAGACGCATCAATGCACACCAAGCAGCTCCCGGACCCCTGGGAGGGCTGAAGTCCTGTCTGGGTTGCCGGGGGGATGGACCTTGTGGGCTTCTGCTTAAAATGCCTGCTCCCCTCCCCATGGATGGTGGGCAGGAGATAAGATTTGTTTTTCAGTCCAGAAACAAAACCAGGTCTCAATGCTCAATAGAAAGCAAATCCCCAGCCTGGCCCTCTGTGGAGAGGCCGCAGAGTTTCAACATGGGAGGCAGCGGGTGGGAATGGCTGAGAGCTTCACTAAGGAGTGAAGGAGGAGTCAGTGCACATGGGCTGGGGGAGGGGCCGCAGGGTAGCCTCGGGGCTGCAGGGAGGAGGCCTGGGAGAGGGCGCAGCTCATACCCACCACTGGGTGCTCCAAGAAAAGGAACCCAAATCACATTTATTAAATGCTGACTGTGTACAGCCAAGTGTTTTAGGCACAGCGTAGACAGTGGTGTGCTGGAACTGGCTTTCAAGAGCTGATAGTTAGATTTCCAGAAACCCTGCAGGCTGGTTGTTAAACATAGCTGTTATTAAAAGTTAAGTTCTATCAGCTTACAGTGAAAATGAAGTATATTAGAAAAAGGGTAATAAGTACTGAAAACCATCACTCCCGCCATTTCACTACAGTTTACTGTTGTCTTTGCACTTGAGGTGAGTTACGTCTGTTGTAGTCTCATGGTGGAAATAGGACATGAAGTAGTCTACTGCGATTGCACACTGGTAGCTTGAAATCAGCCATGGTGGGAATATTTACACCATGGGAACTGGCAAACACCACAAATCAGGGATTTTTTTTTTTTTTTTTTTTTTTTTTTTTTTTTTTTTTTTTTTTTTTTGTAAGCCTTTGAGTGTAGGACACTGGTTAAGAGTGTGGGTATAGGAGCTAGAAGACCTGGGTTCAAGCCTGGATTCTGCCACTTAGTAACCATGTGGCCACTGGCACCCAACTTAAAGGCTTTCTGAGTGTCACTTTCCTTCTCTGTCACATGGGGATAATGGTAGCCCCTCCTCATAGGATGTTGTGATGATTGGATGAGATAGGAGATATAATGTGCCTAAAACAGTGCCTCATACATAGCAAAGGCTCCTTACTAAGTAACTAGTGTTATTATAATTATGATGACTGTGATTATTATTTCATGTGTGTTATTAGTGGCTATGGCAGTGGCACGTTTCTTACCCAGGTATCTAGGTGGGAACCTCTCACCCTTTGCCTCCATCCCACAGCTTTCCTCCCTCTGCCCCCTTTTCTACTTCTGAATTCTCTCCTTGCTGGAGGGGAAACCAGGATGAGCCGCCCATGATCCCTTCTGCTGTGCCTGGCTCTGGAAGGCTAATTCTGAGGCCGACACTTGTAGCCAGAGGCCCCCTAGAGCGGGAGAACTGCTCCAGCACGGGCCCCTGACCATCCCCAGGTGGGAAGATGCTCAGCCAGGGAGGCAGGAAAGGACAGTCATCAGCTGGAGGGGGACATGACTAAGGACATTGGGAAGTGGGGTAGCAGGTGTTGGATTGAGCATCCCCAGGGTAGTGCTCCAAGCTGGTGCTACAGTCTTTGAGGCCACCAGTGATCGGGGCCAGCCATGAAGGTGGGGGTCAGCCTGCACAAGGGGATGGCTGTACATCCTGCAGGAGGAAGTAAAGACAGAGAGCTAGTCCGCCCCTGGCTACGCCCACAGAAGGCACGTGAAGGGCCTGGCCTCTGGGGGCAGACTCACTGGACTGGTGGGTGGGCTGGGTGGACCAAGCTGTCTGGTGAGGATCAAAGTTGCCAATGCTTGCTGAGATTGAGCTGCATGCGCGGGGACTCAGTCACAGCCATGCAGAGCCGAGGAGGCCTGAGGCAAAGACAGCAGGTCCCAGCATCAGCAGACTCCTGGCTGGGTGGGGGCTTCGGCCCGGCCTCGGCCAAGCCCAGGGGGAAGCATGGGGGCTACGCAGGAACCCACGCCTTGCTTGGCTCCTACCTACTTCCTCTTTCTGTGGCTTTGGGTTCAGGTTGGGCAGCGAGCCTGAGACTAAGGGGCTCTGGAAGAAGAGGTGGGTGGGTCCCCCAAACCAAATATCTCCTGCAAACAGAGGAGTGCGTGCTCTGAATAGGGTCCTTTATTTCTCTGTGAGTTTTTGGACACTTGGCAACTGTGCTTGTCAGGCCTTGCGACAAGGGGCAGAACCCCCCAAACACCCTTGATTAGCCTTTGCTGTTAATTCTGAGAAGCAATGACATATTTTTTCATGAAAAATATTGGAAGAGATTGCCACCTTACTAAATGTCTGAAATATGCTGAGACTCATTATAATAGATTCTAATGATAGTGAACGTTTATTGAACTTCTGTTGGATTGCCAAGCCCACAAATGTAGAAACCATATCTGCTTTTTCACCACCATATCCCGGGTGTAGAGCAAGGTACACAGTAGGTGCCTAATAAGTACTCATTAAATGACAATAAAAATGGGCCAGGGAGTCCCGTGGGGAGGAGGTGGACATGTAGCCTCATTCTGCTGAAGCTTATGCCACTTAGGAGAAGGGACCAGTGTTATTCCCTCTTTCCCTGCAGTCGTGCCTGGAGGCAGCAGTGGGTGAGGTGACCATCGGGGTCCCCCATGCTGCTAGGCATCTCACGCAGCCCCCTCTGAATCCCAGGCCACAGAATTGTTCCTGACACTGGTGTCCGAGCTCCGGGGCCTTTCTGCACCTGATCTGCTGGAACTCTGGCGACATTCTTCCTTTAAGTGCCGAGACAACTGGTAAGGGCTTCTCTGCTGGTGAGGGGCTGGACCAGGGGCTGGGGAGTCCCCGGGTGGGTCTTGGTGCTGTCCTGAGTCCCCAGTGAGAAATGGATGATGATATCTCATCCTGTCCCCGTGACATCGACTGTCCTTTAGTCCAGGGATGTGTGTCAAGAAGGAGATTAAGTGGGAGGCCTGGAGGTTCCCACGGGGTCCTAGCTTGGTCCTGGCTGAGACTACAGGCTGAAGGACAAGGAGGATAAAGATGACCATTGTTCTCTCCCCCAGGCAGGACCCTCTTGCTGGAATTAGCATTTCAATGCGCCTTGGGTACCCTCTTGCTGGGGGTGGCCAGTCAGGGGTGGGGGATGCTGGGTAGCATGGGGATCCCACCACCCAGACTCTGCTGAGCTGGGGCCAGCAAGGAGTGTAAAAAGACCCCCAAGTCCAGAGGGGGAACTTCTGAGGAACTAACCCATGAGCTCAGGGCTGTGCAAGGGGACAGCTTGGGTCTCCTTCCAGAGTCCAGCCCTCCACCAGGCCCCTGAGATACAGACATCAGGTCTGTGAGCTTTCAGGATCTTGAAAATATTTGGAGATCTGAAAAAATTTTTTATTGATCCCAAAACATGAAAGAACGCTTGCCCCTGCAAAATCGACTTTACCAAACATTTTATTGAATGACTACAAATCATAATAGTTAATGTGTAGTTACCTTTCAAGCTCTTTATCCATATTCATTCCATCTTCACAGCAACCCCGTGGGGTAGGTGGTATTATTATTCCCACTTTCCAGTTTCAGAAACCAAGGCACAGAGTGGTTAGGAAACTTGCCCAAAGTCACACAGCAGAGTTGGGGATCCAAACCCAAGTGGTCTGTTGTATTATTATTCCCACTTTCCAGTTTCAGAAACCAAGGCACAGAGCGGTTAGGAAACTTGCCCAAAGTCACACAGCAGAGTTGGGGATCCAAACCCAAGTGGTCTGTTCCTTTTCTATCCAATTCTTACAGGCTGAAATATAAATTATGTTGGACTTGGGAGCGTTTTTATAATATTTGATGTTGGGTGGGGTTTTCCCACAAGCCCCTGTCTCACCAGTCCCAAGTCTAGGTGTTTCCCACAGGGCTGATGCTCTTGGGAGAGTTCTGTTGCCCTTTCCTCCTCCTCCATCTCTGCCCAGAGCCTAGTTCCCCGGGGCCCAAATCCACAAGGAAAAGAGAGGAAATAGAAGGGCAAGGTGTGGGAAGAACAGGCCAAAGTGGCCCGTGTGTCCCCGAGGACTCATGGTCATCTTGGGTGGGTCTAGCCACCAACATCTCCATTTTGCAGATGAGCAGACTGAGACTCACAGACTGTTAATGGGGCAGATGGTGTGTGTAGGGATCGGGGGGCGTCCAGCACTCATCAGGGTTGATGGACTGGGGGCTCCCACCCGTACCCCTGCTGCCTCAGTGTGCCTCCAGCTCTGGGAGGCTCCCCTTTCTTCTGAGACCTGGGGACCCACCCCACATTCAATCATTTTCTGCTTCAGACCCTTCATTCTACAGAGGCGGATCAGCTTGGCTTCTTTTCTGAACTTTTTGACCTTTTTGGAATCTCAAAAAAAAAAAAAAAATAAGAAAAATGAATGTCCTGATGTTGGGCTCAGACTATTAGAGGTTTAAATTAGAGGCCATTTGCCTATTGTTGGTTCCTGTTTGATTCAGGGGATTCTCGCCCCTTCCGGGTGACATTTGCCCTGGTAGGTTTCAGCAGAGCATGGGGTGGGGACTTCTGTTTCCCTGAATATCTGCATTTTCCAAATGGAAAGAGCTGCCAGGGTTTGGACTGGGCTCCTGTTGTCCCCATGGGTCCTGAGAACACAGGCCCTAGCCAGGCTGCCAGGGCAGCCACACCTCTCCAAGCCTCGGTTTGCTCTTGTGGTGACCAGAGGCTGCAGCGAGATGCGTCTGGAAGGCACTCAGAGTGTGTGGGTCCCCTTGGTGATGATCTCAGGCAGCCGCTGGTGGACGCCCTGCCCTCCTGCGGCACCGAGCCCTGCGTGGGCCTCAAGACGGAGCTCATCGTGTCGGGGGAGCTGGAGGCAGACGAGGCGGAGGTGTGGTTCTGGTCACTGGCCTTCATCCCGAAGCCCACGGATGCCATGGTCCACGCGCTGCTGGTGAGCCTCTGCACCCCACTCGGGCCCCATGTCCTTCCTCCCCGGCTCGGCTACTGATTGGATGCAGGGAGGTGACCTGCTCTTGTCCTGTCTCTGTACCAGCCCCTGGTGGGACGAGTGGAGGGGGCTGGACCACCCATCTCCCTAGGCTGCTGCATTAGGTTCAAAGCAGGCTTTGGTATCAGAGATCTGTGGGTTTTAGTCTCAGCAAACTGAAGCTGGGTGAGTCTCACCCAGCTGTGTGACCCCAGGCAAGTGACTTAACCTCTCTGAGCCTGTTTTCTGATCTGTAAGATGGGGATGAAACTAAGTGCCTCCATCCTAGGGTCATAGTAATAAAGGAGATGCTGCATGTAAAACGATTCTTCTGATGTCGGGCATAAAATCTGAGCACATTAAATTAGAGCTGCTGATATTGTTATAAACAAACATGTTTAATGAGTCTTGAGATTAGGACATCCGTGTGTAACTAGTCCAACAATTTATACCAGTACGTGGAGGTCTTAGTTATCCTCCCTCATGATGCCTCTGAAACAGGTGCTCTTATATGCCCATTTTACAGATGAGGAACCTGAGGCCCCCAAAGTCGGGGCGGCTTGCCCAAAATGATGCAGCCGCTCTGCCCTTCCTGGACCTCAGGGTGCATCTTCACTTGCCTGGGGTGGGGGAGTCACTTGTGGCTCCTCACCCTGCTGTTCCAGGCTGGTGATGGGCTAGGATTCAGAGGTCACCATCAGTTAGCAGAGTGAAAACACTCTGGAGCTGTGTGCTGGGCCGGCCAGGGCCCTGGGAGCATCAGAGACTCCTGCGCTGGCTGTGGGGCTCTCCAGCAGGACCTGTTAGCCCCTTGAGCTGGTTGGGTGGTGGCTGTCTCTCCAGGCAGAGTGTAGGGAACACTCGACCCCTGGCCCCTGGCCCCAGGGTTCAGAGTGGGGCCCTTCTAGGCAGGTCCTGTGGTTGGCACCCCTCAGCAGACATGAATCAGGCACCAAGTGACATTGGCCACGAAGGATGCCAGCACCATCCAGCACTTGCCCCAGGTTTAGCCAGGGCAGGGCAGCGTCAGGCTCCCCGAAAGTGTCTCCCTCTTCCTTCCTTCCTTTCAGTCACTCATTGTTTTTTGTTTACTTGCTCATTTGTGTGGCATCAGTGTGGTGGCTAAAAAGCACAGGCTTTGGTCTAGACCTCCCAGCTTCTGATCCCAGCTCTGTCCCTCACCAGCATGACCTCGGGCAAGGCCCTTCGCTTTTCTGGGCCTCTGTTTTTCCCATCTGTACAATGGGGGTATTTCATAGGGTGATTGTGCGGACTGAGTGAATTGTTGTGATCTGTGCAGAATGTTAGGGAAATGGCTGGTGGTGTTGCTGTTGCTACTTGTCAGGGACAGGCAGCAAGCCAGGCAGGTGGAATCCCTCAGCTCATGTAGCCCAGGACCCCGGGGTCTCCCTCAACCTGCTCACGCGTCCTCTCGTGCCTCTTGCAGCTCTCAGGACTGCATTTGCTCATTCTCTCATCCAGTCAGCAGGGCCGTGCCTGTGCTGGGCATGTGCTGGGGATACAGGCTCAAATTGTGTGACCTGGGGAGAGGGAGGGAAGGAGAGAGGGGGAGGAGGGAAGGGGAGGGGAGAAGAGGAGAAGAGGAGGGGGAGGGGAGGACAGAGGGGAGTGGCAGGGAAGGTATTTTAATACACTTAATTTAAATTTAATTTAATGTTAATAAACTTCAAATCTGGAATAATTTTAGATGCACAGAGGAGTTGCAAAGTCAGTACAGAAGTTCCCACGTGCCCCACACCTGGTGTCCCCCCCCCCCCCGTCGTTAACAACTTCTGTCACCAGGAGCATTTGTCACAACTGAGACTGACCCGGATACGTTTCTATTAAGTAAACTCCGGACTGCTGGGATTCCCCGCTTTTCCCACCGATGTACTGTCTGTTCCAGGATCCCCTCCAGGGTACCCCATTGCAGTTAGTGGCTGTGTGGTTTTATGACGTTGTAAGCTCCACATTCAGGAAACCGCACTGTTCTTAAGTGTACAGTTGGATGAATGTCACACCTGTGTATGTTCACCCGCAACCACCCCCAGGCTCCCCCAAGGCTCCCTCATGCTCCTCCCAGTCGGTGACTCCCAAAGGGCACCACGATTGTGACCTTCCCTGCTGCTTAGGTGCGGCTGCTCCTGACACTTACGCCCTCGGTCTCCCACCCCGCAGTCTGGCTTCTTCTGCGTTCCCTGTGCAGCTCGGTGACGCAGAGGTGTGTGTGGGGACTTTGTGCTTTCCCGAGCTGGCTGTATTCCCTGCCCCCTTGCCATTTCCTCTCCTGAGTTCTTAATTTTGGTGAAGTCCAGCTATTAATCTTTTTGTTTCTTTTGGCGACTGGCTGGTACAGGGATCCGAAACCTTGACTTTCAGCTTCTTAATCTTTTCTAGTGAACACTTTGCCTCCCCAGGTCATGACGCTTCCTGTCTTTTCTTCTACCAGCTTTGTTGTTTCAGCTTTCAGGGACGGCTGGTTTAGGGCAAGATGACCGAGTGTTAATGTCACGTTGGAAAAGTGAAACTGGTTGTATAAAAGGTCATAGGCTTGAGGATCCTTTTAATTTTTCATCTTTAAAAATTGAAAAAAAAGAGAGTGAACATTTTATTTTATTCTATTTTATTTTATTTTTTTTAAAAGATGACCGGTAAGGGGATCTTAACCCTTGATTTGGTGTTGTCAGCACCACGCTCACCCAGTGATCTAACCGGCCATCACCTATATGGGATCCGAACCCGTGGCCTTGGTGTTATCAGCACCGCACTCTCCCGAGTGAGCCACGGGCCGGCCCCAAGAGAGTGAACATTTTAAACAGACTTTTCATTGAAGTGTCACCAGATCTTTTAGTTAGAGATTATTGCATTAAGATCTGCTTTCTGGTTCTCATGAAGATGAGGAAGGCTGGCCATTCTGGGCATGTCCTCAGGGCAGCCATTCTCAGAAGGAACCAGGTCATTCATTACTCCCAGAGCCTGGGCCTGATGCTGGCCCAACTGTCCCAGCAGGGCCACTGAATGGGGCTCACAGACGTAAATCCCAGCAAGGTGAGTGCACCAGCCCATCCTGTAGTCCTGCAGGGCCCGACCAGGCTTCTGGCTCCAGCTTTGGTCCCGGGACAGGCTCGAGCCAGCTCTGCCTCAGTCCCTGCAGTCTTTCTGGGTCACAGCAGGCAGAGGCAGGAAACTCTGGCAGGTGGGACCCTGCTGAGTGCGTCTGAGGGCTTCTGTCCGTCTTTTCATAACCCCTGCCCTCCCCACCCAGCCCTGCTTTCCCTGCTCTCTCTGAGGAAAACAGGGAGGTTTATTTTCTTCTGCCAAATATAGAAACACATTGAATGGGCTTTTTAGGCTGCACATTCCCTGTCCTATCACAAAGAAAACACACACTGAGACTCGGCGTGAGACTCACACACACACACCCTGAGTTACACATGGACGGACACGCTGATGCAGGCCCACCCTGAGGCATGGGACCCACTAGGCACAGGGACACACACACACAGACCCACAGACACACTGATGCAGGCCCACGCTGAGACATGGGACACACACAAACAGGGACATGCACACACACAGGGACACACACACACAGGAGGACAGCACACAGACCCATGGACACACTGATGCAGGCCCGCATTTAGGCATGGGGACACACACACAGGGACACACACACAGACCCACAGACACACTGATGCAGGCCTCCACCGAGACCTGCTCCCCTCAGGACACTTACACAGGGAAATGCAGGGACACACCCCACACGGGGCTGTTCACACACATGCTCCCACACCATATGACATACTGAGACACATTTATGTGAGGCACCCACACCAAGACTCACACCTGTGCCTGGAGGTGCAGGTGGACGCATGTGTCACACTGTGTGCGCACACAGGCACACCAGGACATTCACACAGCAGTACACTCACACATGGGACGTGCAGGGAATCCCCCCACACCTGGACATACACACATACACACCAGGATACACTGTGACATCATGGACACACATGGGACACACACCCACATCAGTTTACGTGCACACTCACAGGGACGTGCTCAGGCACATGAGATGCACACACGGGGGCAGCGTGTGCAGGTCCCCACCAGGACCTCCACGTGTACCAGGATACATGCACGCACTGAGACACATGCGCACCCACATGGGATCACACACTCTTACTGACACTGGGATTATAAAACACATGCACACTGAGATGCACACACACAGACGCTGCGTGAATGCCTTGCACAGTGTGTTCACAGCCTCGCATAGTCCTGCAGACCTGGTAAGAATCATGAATCCAAGCAAGGAGTCCATGGGGCAGAAACTGTATCTCCCCACTGCTTCCAGGCGGTCCCTGCTCTGGAGTGGTGGGTCTGGCTTAGAGGCACTGGTTACACCCAGTGCCTCTGGGCCTCCTTTTTCTGGAGTGAATCTAGAATTTGCATTTCAAGAAGCAGTGAATGTGGGGGTAAAGCCTGGCAGGGAGTCAGACCCTCTAAGGTTAAGTCCACTCCACTATGTACTGGCTGGGTGACCTGAGGCAAGTTACCTAACCTCTCTGTGTCTCGGCTTCCTCCTCTGCAAAATGGAAATGACAGTAGAGGTGACGTGAGCCCCTCTCCTGTTTGCCTTTTTCTCCAAGAAGGCTTCAGTGATGGGGGGTGGGAAGAGAGTGGGAGGGGTGGCCTGGCATCTGAGTGGTGGACTCTTCCCAGCAGCCAGAAATGAACCTAGTCAGACTCTGCCCACACTGCTGGCCACTGCAGCAAGGCCCTCACAAGAGACGGGTACTGGTAGAGTTGGGCAGTTGGGACAGCCTGGCTCCCAGAGGAGGGCTGGGGTCTCCTTCTGCCCAAGGGGCCCAGCATGCATGTAGGGTGGGGCAGGAGGACAGGAGGGCTGGACATCAAAACTCAGAGGAAGGGTCTTGACAGTCACACCTGGGAGCTGATCACCAGATATGCAGGCAGTTTTTGAGCTGGTTCAACACAGTCATTTCAGACATTAAAGGATGTATACTTGCAATTGGAGAAACTTCCCTTCCTAATTGTCTTACTTCATGGGACTACGTCTATGCTTTCAGGGTTATTTATGTTGATAGTGGCCCCAGTCACCCAGCTGACAAGCATGGACACAGTGGCCTGGGAGCCCTCCCCAGCCCCCATTAGCCCTTCTCTCTCATTCCTGCAGTCAGAGGCAGGTGATGCTATTTGGGTGACACTGGCTGGGTTGGGTGGCAGGCCCTGGAGGTGTGGGTACACAGAGGGACTGCAGCCTCCCCTCGGGGATCCCACAGTTCCAGGTGAGACGGTTTATCTCTTGTACAGCTTTGCAGCAGGGAGGAGAGCTGTTTGGTGGCAGAAGCTGACTCCATCGTTTTGCCAGTTGTTTGCGAAGAGATAACTTTGCTTTTATTTCTGTACATCTTGTACATCTGGGCTGGGCTCTGACACTTTGTCCAGGATTCTGTACCATGTTCCACTCAGAAATCCTTACCCTGCTGTCCCACACTGGGGATTTAGCCTGGGGTCTCAGTCTCAGCCCTGTTGACATTTGGGTGGGATAATTCTTCACTGGGGGTAAGGTGTGGGGGGTGGGAGCTGTCATGTGTATCAGAGAATATTTAGCAGTGTCCCTGGTCTCTTCTCGATAGATGCCATACCCTTCTCTACCTCCGGTTGTGACAACCAAAATGTCTCCAGACATTAGCCAACGTCCCTGTCCCCACTTGGCCCTATTGTGCTGTTCTCCATCCTGGATGCACATGAAAGTCACCTGGGGTGCTTTTAAAGATGCTCCAAGCACAGATCAATCTATTCAGACTCGTGCGGGTGGGGGAAGTGCCCATTTTTTCCATATTTTTAGGAAGTGCACAAGGTGAATCTGCCTGCAGTCAGGGCGCAGCCTGCGAAGGACCACTTACCAGCCTACTCAGGGTGGGGATGGGGCCATTGTCTGTCCCCAGCCTCTGCTGCAGACCCCGAGGGCCAGCCCCAGTGCCTTCCTTGGCACCTCTGCCCTGGTGCACAACCTCTGTGCTTCTCTGGACGGGTCCTGCGACCAGCTGCCAGGTGTCAGCTCCTTTGTGAGGATCCTGGGAGAGGCGTTGGGTACAAACTGTACCTCCCAGGAGTCTGCGGATGCCGGCCAGGTAAGAACAACCAACATCCCAGGCACTGGCCCAGGCCCCTCAGTCGGGCCTGAGCCAGGTTGGCGAGCCCCAGGCTGAGCGGGGTGGGGGGCTGGGTGCCCCCTGAGCCTCATGTCCCTGCTGCCGTCTTGTTTCAGCTCCAGCTTGTGCTGAAGGCCATTGGCAATGCCGGCCTGGCAGCCACTGCTCTCACCCCCATGCTGAAAGCTTGTGCGTTGCTGGGGAGCAGCGCCCCTGAGATCCGGCTGGGGGCCATCCAGGCCTTCCGCAGGGTCCCCTGCTCTGCAGATGTGAGCCTCTGCATGGTGTTTCACTAGGGTTGGGATTGGGCGGTGGTGGGTCTTGAACCACTGTTTAATTCACTTCATTCATTCATTCGGTCATCACGTATTTACTGAGCACCTACTATGTGCTAGGCACAGGCTAGGCACTAGCATGACCAGGTAGTGGGTTTCCATTCTCACGGAGCCTGTGTCTGGTGGGGGGCAGATTATTAATCAGATAAACACACAAATAAGCATACGATTACCAACAGCATCTGTGCTCCAAACCCTCTACTGCAGGGGTTGGCAAACTACGGGCCAGGGGCTACCTCCTGATCCGCTGTCTGCTTTTGTAAATAAAGTTTTATTGGCACACAGCCATGTCCACTCAGTTGTGTGTTGTCTGTGGCTGCTTTTTTAAATTTTATTTTTGTCAGCTGGCTGGTATGGGGAATTGAACCCTGGACCTTGGTGTCATCAGCACTGTGCTCTAACCAACTGAGCTGACTGGCCAGGTGTGGCTGCTTTTTTGCTACAACTGTAGAGATGAGTCTTTGCAAGAGAGACCTCATGGCCTGGAAAGGCTAAGATAGTTATTATTGGTCCCTTTACAGAAAAAGTTTCTGATGCTGGACTAGTAGCACCTCTTCCATACACACATACACTCAGAGTCAAAGTCAAAGTCCTTACAGTGACATACTACTCCCTGTGTGATCTGACCTCTGACCTGCTAGCACCTCTTGGCCTCATCTCCTACTGTCATACCCCCATCCTCTCCAGCCACGTTGTTCCTCAAACACGTCAGGCCCCCTTTTGCCCCAGGCCCTTTGCACGTGCTGACCCTCTTCCTAGAACACCTTTCCCCTGGATGTCCCCAGACTTCACTCCTTTGCCTACTTTGCTTAAAGATCACTTTCACTGTAAGCTCTCCCCTGACTATTTCACCTGAAATTGAACCTCCCAGGTCTCTCATGCCTGTGGTCCTGTTTCTCCATTTTATTTTCCCTCTTTAGTGCTTTTCATCATCTAATGGGTCATATATGTCACATGTTAACCTTGTTTACTGTTGTCTCCCTACTCTAGAATGTCAGCTTCAGGTGGACAGGAGCCAGGTTGGTCTTGCTCATGGCCGTCACCTAGCACAGTGCCAGGTGCATAGTAGGTGCTCAGTAAATATTTGTCATGTGAGTGGATGGGGTGGGGTGGGGTGGCTGTGCTGTGAGGGGAGCCAATAGGTGTTGAGGGAGAAAGTGACAGGGTTGGGGAGGTGGCTTGCTTAGAAAGGGAGCCCTGAATGCCCAGATGTTTTGAAAATACCTCCTGTGTGTATTTTGTGCTGCTTTTGTTTTATTGGAATGCAGCCACGCCCATTTGTTTGTGTATTTTTATGGATGGAAATTGACAAGGATCTGGGCTGGGGCTGGTAGAGAACTGGGGAACCCCTACTTACCTCCTGCCTCTGGGCCACAGGTGAGAATGTGTCAGGGAGACCTCCTCCAGTGGAGATGTTGGGAGAGGTAGGGACAGGCAGCCAGGCTGCCTGCAGAGCCAGGGGACATCACCTTCCTGGGTGGAGGGGGGTGGGCCCCAGATGATGGCCTTCCTTCCGCCCAAGCCAGCGATCTGTGCTCTCCCGTCTGTACCAAACCCCTGAAGAGGATGCTGAGATCCGCATCAATGCCTACCTGGCCTTGATGAGGTGCCCTGGTGAGGAGGTGTTTGCCCAAGTGCGGCGCATGCAGGCAAGCGAGCAGTCCACCCAGGGTGAGCAGGACAGTGTGTGTGTCAGGGGTGGGGGGATGGGGAGGAGATGTTGGGGGGAACTGGCCCCAGGCACCTCTTGGGTGCAGGGGGTCTGGGGGCATCCTTACCCTCCACCCTTCAGGTGTTGTCCTGTCCCCTTCCAACTCCCCCCCTGCCTTCTCTTGCCACAACATCTGGATAAGTGGCCCTGTCTACCTCTCTCCTCTGCATGGCAATTCCTGTCCCCATTCTGCCATTGGGGAACCCTGGAGAAGTTGGTTCTTCTCTCTGATCTTCAGTTTCCTCATCTGTAAAATGGGATGGGAGTTACTGAGGTCCCTTCTAGCTCTGGCCAGATCATGACACAGTACCTTAAAGAGAGACCTGAGACAGAGGAGGGACAGTGTCTGTGAATTTCAGATCCCTTCTGGGGTCAGAGAATTCCCTTTAAACAAGAGGCTTCTGAGCATAGTTCCTGACCCCAAAGGCATAAATTCAAAAACTAAGTTCAGCTGAATTAAAAAAACCAAACAAAAAACCCCTATAATGCACAGTGTGTTGAGAGCCTGGTTTCAAATCCCAGGTCAGCCGTTTTCTACCTGTATGGCCTTGGACATGTTACTATACCTTTGTGAGCCTCCATTTCTACACCTGTGAAATGGGGATAACAATAGTACTTCCCTCGCAGAGTGTTGAGAGCATAAAATGAGTTAATACACGAAGACGTTTAGAACAGTACAAGTGTTATATGTGTAACTGTTGCTTTTTATGTTATGATCACTACTACTGTTATCATTGCAGCATAACCATGTGGTCAAAACTTCAAAGTGGTGGGCAAGGGATAAGTGAAAATTAAATTCTTCCTTCCTCCTCCCCCAGCGCCAAGTCCTGTTTCCTGAAGGCATTCACTGTGAACAGTTCTCTTGTTTATCACATCAGAACTTTTATGCATTGATGAGCATCTGTGTATATCTCTGTAACAACAGCAGCAACTCAGGATCATGTTGTACATGCTGTTGTGTTTGTTGATGTTTGCCTTTAACATGTCTGGGAACCCTTTCCATGTCAGGGCCTGTGGACTCTTATCGGCTGTATGATGTGCTGCTGGGAGCTTGTACCATAATCCATTGCACCAGTCCCACTGATGGGCATTTAGGTTGTTTCTGGTCTTTTGCTGTTAGAATCAATGACCAAAACAAACCTCCCTGCACATCCACCTTTGGCCCTTGTGTTAATCTAACTTTGGGATAATTTCCCAGAAGAGAAATTGCTGAGGCGAAGTGTGTGCACATTTAAAAGTCTGATGTGTTGTTGCTGAATTACCTTCTGAAGAAATGGCACTACTGGAAGATGCAGCTCTTTGAGTTGGTAGTTTCAAGCATGGGGTGTGATTTGTGGATGGTGGGTGTGGGGAGGGGGCTGCATTTGTCATGAATCGAACCAAGTAGGCAGTTAAGCCCTCTCCCAGGGGATCAGCCAAGGGGCTTCCCTCAACAGAGGTCTTGGGGTACCTGGCTGTGTTGCCCAGTGGGAACAAGTAGGTGCCTTATCACCCAAAAGCCATTTTGGTCCTATGGTAGACTGTTCCGGTAGACTGTTCCAGAAGCTCCCTGCTGGGCCTTCTGAGAGCTTGAGATAACCAAGAGGTCTGGGGGTTCCTGTTAGACTCTAACCTCCCCCATTGTCCTCGTTCCCATTATGTTTTAATTTGATCTTTATCCCTCCAGGGACCCTGAGGGTGCCCCCATTATGGATTGCCCATCACCCCTTTGCCAACCCTAAAGCATACTTAGTCTTTTAGGTCTAGGCTGTACTGTTGACTGATCTTCACAAACAGCCCTGTGAGATGAGTCATTAGTTCATTTTACAGGTGGAGAAACTGAGGCTCAGAGAGGTGGAGTGACTATCTCAGGCCACACTTGTAAGTAGTAGAACTAGGATTTGAAATCAGGTCTGACTCCCCCATTTCACAGATGAGGAAACTGAGGCTCAGAGAGGTGGAGTGACCACCCCGAGTGTTGGAACTGGGATACAGACTCTGCTCTGACTTTCAAGCCAGGATTTCCCCACAATACTTCTCTTTCCTCTCTGGAAAGCACATAACAGAATTCCATGCACAGGCTAGATTTCCGCGTTCCATGGAGGCATTGCTGTTTGCCATCGTTTCTTCAGAGAGGTTGTGGGTCTCCGGAACTAAACCTCAGAGAAGTCCCTGGTGTGTGGCAAGAGCAGGACGTGGGATGGGGGCTGGAGGGTCTTTTGTCTGGACTGTGCCAGCTCCAGACCCGTTCCTCACCGCCCGCCCCTGCCCTCCCCGCTGGCTGTGACTCCACTCCAGTGGGCTCCTTCGTGTGGAGTCACTTCCTGCAGCTGCTGGAGACGGACGATCCCCTGAAGTGGGCCCTTCGGGACGCCCTCCCCGAGGACATCCTCAGCCATGAGTTCCACCCAGAGATCTGGAAACACTCATCCTATTCTGATGTGACCTTCCGCTCAGGTATGGCCATCCTGGGCAGCCTCTGTCCTGCTCTGGCCACAGTCTTGGGGACCCCAGAACTCCAACTCCTGAGGGCATATGGATCAAAGGCGTTGTTTCCTATATTGACAACATTTGTATTTACATTTACTATTTAGCCTGCTTGATGTGTTGCAATAGACCCACAGCACCTGCTGTTCATGTAGGACATTTCATTGCGTTCAGCTTCTCAGCAAAACAAAATGAACTACCTGGTTGAGATAGGAAACAAAGAAAATTTAGGAACTGGTGAAGGAGTCTAGAATCAGACACCAGTCTGCACCAAAAAGGGTTCAGAAGGGCCGCCCCACCGCAGGTGCAGGTCGTATTTGTAGTCGAGGAAAGGAAGTGACAGACAGAAACAACCTGATTGGTTCCGCTCAGTGTTTGCCTTATGTGAATGGGATGATCAGTCTGCAGCCAATTGGCAGCCTGTGATTGACAGAAGAGTGGCTGCTGTGATTGGCTAAAAGTGGCTGCTGTGATTGGGGAAAGGTGGTGCTGTGATTGGCTGAAGGTGGTGCTGTGGTTGGCTGAAGGTGGTGCTGTGATTGGCTGAAGGGGGCTGCTGTGGTTGGCTGAAGGGGGTGCTGTGATTGGCTGAAGGGGGCTGCTGTGGTTGGCTGAAGGGGGTGCTGTGATTGGCTGAAGGGGGCTGCTGTGGTTGGCTGAAGGGGGTGCTGTGATTGGCTGAAGGGGGCTGCTGTGGTTGGCTGAAGGGGGTGCTGTGATTGGCTGAAGGGGGCTGCTGTGGTTGGCTGAAGGGGGTGCTGTGATTGGCTGAAGGGGGCTGCTGTGGTTGGCTGAAGGGGGTGCTGTGATTGGCTGAAGGGGGCTGCTGTGGTTGGCTGAAGGGGGTGCTGTGATTGGCTGAAGGGGGCTGCTGTGGTTGGCTGAAGGGGGTGCTGTGATTGGCTGAAGGGGGCTGCTGTGGTTGGCTGAAGGGGGTGCTGTGATTGGCTGAAGGGGGCTGCTGTGGTTGGCTGAAGGGGGTGCTGTGATTGGCTGAAGGGGGCTGCTGTGGTTGGCTGAAGGGGGTGCTGTGATTGGCTGAAGGGGGCTGCTGTGATTGGCTGAAGGTGGTGCTGTGGTTGGCTGAAGCGTGGCTGCTGTGGTTGGCTGAAGCGTGGCTGCTGTGGTTGGCCGAATGCAAAAGTAACACGGCTGAGCGCAAAAGCCCGGCAGAAGTTCATAGTGTTCCCAGCTAAGACGTGGCTGAGGTTCAAGCAGAAGTGGCCTCCCTGCTCCGCGTTAGATGCCTTTACCAGACTGATGCTGTTTCTTTGTCGAACTGAATACTTCCACCTTTTCTCTAAATTGGCTCTTTTAAACTTGTTTTTAAAAGGAGACTTGCTATCACTGCGGCTCCTAGAACATCAGGTTAACTCTCTGTAAAGAGAAGGTGGCCCTGAAAAGCACCGTAGCGATGATGAAACCCTGTTCTTGAATTCCCCGGATTCTGTCGCCCGGTGAGGGCCGTGGATTTTGAGCACTGCCTTCTCCTGTGTTAGGAGAGAGATTAGTCCCACACCGAGACTGCCTCTGTTGTAACCACTAGAGAATCAAAGAGGGGATCTCCTAAACCGCCTCCACCGCTGTGGGAAGTCGGGGTGGGAGTGGGAGCTCTGGGCGCCTGGTCCCCGCCTCAGCACGCGCGGGTGAGTGTGACCCTCTGTCCTGGATAAGACTTAAGGCTGTTTTGCTTCCCGGCCCGGGAGATGCAGCCACACGTCTGGCCCTGTCTCGAGCGGTGTCCCCTCAGGAGCCGGACCCTGTCCTGTGAGGAGTGCAGAACGTGCCGACCCTCTTTCCTTTCTGCTAGCATCGGGCAGCGTGGGAGCCAACCTGGAGAGGACCCTTCTCTTCTCTCCCGCCTCCTTCCTTCCTCGTTCTGCCACAGTCAACCTGACCGTCCATGCCGCAGGCCGTGCCTTCAACCTCCTGGACGTAAGAGGGAGCCTTGCTGCAGTCTCCTCAGGGCCTCTCCTGGACTTGGGCCCAGAAATTATCCCCTCCATCCGTCTGTCTATCCCTCTATCCCTTGCCTCCGTTGTTCAGCCCCCAATCCTCTACATCCATCCACCTACTCATTTTTCCACCCTTCTGTTCACCCAACCACCTATAAATACATCCATATATCATCCATTCACCCACATCCCTCCATCCGTCCTTCCATCCTTCCACACATCTGTCCACCCATTCATCCATCCCTCTCATCCGTCCATCCAGTTACCCATTCATTTATACACTCACTCACCCATCCATCCACACAGCGCTCTTTCATCTGTCCATCTGTCCGTCTGTCCATCCATCCATCCACCCTCCCACCCTCTCATCCACCCCTCTATTCATCTATTCTCCTACTCGTCCATCCAGCCTTCCATTCGTGTCTGTCCAAATCCATCCATCCATATTTATTCATCCATCTACCCACGCTCCACTGCACGAATATTCATCCTTTATCTGACATTGTACCACGCACTGTGCTGGGCTCTAGAAATATAACTAGAGAGACATGGCCCCTGCCCTCTTGGTGCTCGCAGCCTAAAGAGGTAGACAGATAAAAAACATGTAAACACACTGATGATACGACGGCAACTTTAAATAGTGCACGCAGGGAGGTGGAGTTTGACCTAAGACCTGAAGGGTGAGCATGTGCAGCTGTGTGCAGAGCTCAGGTAAGAGCCTCCCAGGCAGGGGCACCAGTAAGTGCAAAGATCCCAGGAAGAGAAAGGGCTTGGGGTGTTCGAGGAACAGGAGTAGAGTAGGGAGCGAGTAGGACGGTGGTGAGACAGGAGGGCAGGGAGGAGGCAGGGCTGGGTTGTGGAAGGGTTTTAGGCTGGGGAGTGACACGATGTGATTTGAGCATCTGCTGACAGAAGCGGGAACACCTCTGAGGTCCTGCATCCAGCAAATGGATTACCTGAGGCCCTTCCTTCCCCTTCCCCCAGGCCTCTGGAGCTTGACTGAGGGAGGGTGCTCTGTGCTCTATCCCTACCCCTCCTGATTTATGGGAAACAGGGCCACTTACCCAAACTTTGCCAGCTGGGTGGTGGGTTCAGATCTGCCAAGTGCTGACCTTCTAGTGATTTCTCTCCAAATGCTGTCAGAAATGTCTGGATGGAAGGAGGGAAGGAAGAGCAGAGGGAAGGAAGGAGAAGTAGATGGATGGATGAATGCGATGGATGGATGGCTGGGTGGAAGGAAAGATGGATGGATGGAACAAAAGACAGAAAAGATGGAAGGTGGGCTGGTGGGTGGGTAGATGGTTGGATGAATGGGGAGGGTGAAAGGACAGTTGAACAGATGGCTGGATGAATGGACAGATGGAAGGAAGGAGGGACAGAAGGAAGGGTCCATTCAATCATCCATCAAATTTTGAGAACGAACCAGGCTGGGGGATGTGGGAAGGGAGTGATGTGGGAGTTCAGGGAAGGCTTCCTATGGGCGGTGACATTTGAACCAGGTCTTAAAGAATTGGTAGGAATTCTTGCTGTGTGGCGTCTGCCAAGCAATTACGAGTTCGATGCATTTCCCAGTGTTGTCGTCCTTTACCTGAGCCCAGATGGATCCCAGGGAGCCCAGAGTGCACTGCTCAAGACTTCAGGGTTCCCTGCCCAAGCCCCCAACCCCAAAGTGCTTGATCATCTCGATCACTGCGTGACTGAGTTGCTTCTCCCTGAGCCCGTGGCTTCCCTCCCCAGTTGGGGCTCCGGCTGGAAAATGCTGAGGAAATTGCTCGCAGACTGTTTGGCCAGAAGTCATTCTGGGGACGGGAAGAGGAGACACACCCCCTGGGGCCAGAACCAGGGCCTGCATCACAGCCAGCCAGCCCTGAGTGTCCAGGAGAAAGATCCAGAAAGATGAGAGACCTACAGCAGAAGGTAGGGGAAGAAGCCATGTCCCCGCTGCTCCCACCAGGCATGCCTGGCCACCAACATTCTTGGGCTCTTGCTTGGCTTTCGGACTTGGGATTCAGGCAGCTATAAACTCTGACCCTTACAGAAATAAGCTGCTGGTCAGATCTGAGTAGTGAGCTGTACATTAAAAAACTGTTTAGTGAAGTAGAACCTACATGTAGAAAAATCCCTACATTGTAAGTGAACAGCTTGATGCATGTCCACCAACTCAACACACCCACGGAGCCAGCACCCAAACCATCATCGGCACCCCAGAGACCCCCCTTCTGCCCTCCTCCCGTAGTTACAACCCATCCCTAACCAAGAGTAATCACTAACAAGGGTTCTGACTTCTGTCAGTGTCAATTAGTTCTACTTTTTAACAATCAGCTTTGCTGAGGTATAATTGGCACACGATAAATGACACACAAAGTGTGTAGTTGGGTAAGTTTGACATGAAACCATCCCCATAATAAAGCTAATGAAAAAATCCATCACCCCCAAAGTTTCCTTGTGCACCTTAATAATTCCTTCCTTCGTCCCCATTTCCAGTAACTACTGAGAGTATAGATTATACTATACTTCTGTCATTATAGATTAGTTGCATTTTCTAGACTGTTACATAAATTGCATTATGCAACATGTGCTTTTTTAAGAAAGCATATATTCTTTTTTGTTTGGCTTCTTTCATTCAGCATAATTATTTTGAGATTCATCCATGTTGTAGGGTATACTAATGTTTATTTCTTTTTATTGCTGAGTTGTATTTCATCATATGAGTGTACCATATTTGTCCATTCACCTGTTGGTGGACATTTGAGTTATTTCCAAGGTTTGGCTATTAAAAATAAAGCTGCTAGGAACATTTGTGTACAAGTCTTCGTACGGACATATGCTTTCATTTCTTTTAGATGTATATGTAGGAGTGGCTGGATCATATGGTAGGTACACGTTTAATTTTTTCAGAATCTGCTAAACTGTTTTCCAAAGTGGTTGTGCCATTTTTATTCCACCAGCAGCATATGAGAGTTTCAGTTTCTCCACATCCTCACCAACACTTGGTGTGGTTAGACTTTTTAATTTTAGCTATTCCAGTAGTGTGTGGGAGTATCTTGTGGCTTTAGTTTGCTTTTCCCTAATGACTAATGATGTTGGGCATCTTTTCATGTCCTATTTGCTATCCATATGTCTTCTTTGGTGAAGTGTATGTTCAAATATTTTGCTCATTTTATTTTGTTAAATTGTTTTATTATTGAGTTTTGAAAAAAAATTTTTTTTAAAAGATGACCGGTAAGGGGATCTTAACCCTTGACTTGGTGTCGTCAGCACCACGCTCAGCCAGTGAGCGAACCGGCCATCCCTATGTGGGATCCAAACCCGGGGCCTTGGTGTTATCAGCACCGCACTCTCCTGAGTGAGCCACGGGCCGGCTCTGAAAATTTTTTATATATTCTGGAAACATGTCATTTATCAGATATACGACTTGGAAATCTTTTCTCCAGGTCTGTGGTGTGTGTTTTTGTTCTCTTAATTGTGTCTTTTGAAGAGCTGAAGTTCTTAATTTTGATGAACTCAAGTTTATTCATTTCTTTTACGGATAGTGCTTTGGGTGTTGTAGCTCAGAAGTCTTTGCCTAATGTGATGTCACAGGGATTTCCTGAAAACCTGCAAATCTCCAGAATGTTCTCTCTGTGCAGTTCTCTCTTCTCTTACTCTCTGCCCTGTGAAGTCTGGCCACCTTGGTCTCCCCAGACCCTCAGCTCTTCAACTCAGTGAGTCCCCCTTGCTCAGCTTTGGTCCACCTCCCTGCATCACAGCCCAGACACCCTCTCCAGGCAGTTAGCTGGGCTCACTTACTTATTCCTGTCTCTAGAGGTTCATTATCTGATGTTGCTTGGTGTCTGGTGTCTTGGAAACCATTGGTTAATCTGTTTCATCTGGGTTCTAGGCTGGTCCACGTGGGAGGGTAAATCCGGTCCCAGTTACTTCAATTTGGTTGGCAGTAGAAGTCACATGCAGTTCCTTTTGCAAACTTTATATGAATTCACCATGGACTCTTTTAAAAAATAGAGATGAAATTCACATAAAATTAACCACCTTCAAGTGAAAAAGTCTGTGGTATTTTGTACATTCACAGTGGTGCCACCACCACCTCTATCTAGTTCCAGACCATTTTCATCACACCCAAAGGAGACCCTGTACCCATTAAGCAGTCTTCCCCCATGACCCCCTCCGTGTCCCTGGCAACCACAAATCAGCTTTCTGTCTCTGTGGATTTGCCTATTCTTGATATTTCATGTAAATAGAATCATACAATACTCGACCTTTCGTGTCTGGCTTCTTTCACTTAGCATAATGTCTTCAGGGTTCATCCATATTGTGGTATGTATCAATACTGCATTTCTGTTTAGGGCTAAATAATATTCCACCATATTCTATAATTTGTTTTTCTGTTTATCCTTCGATGGACACTTGGGTTGTTTCTACCTTTTGGCTCAGGCACTCTTTTTTGGTGTCTGACTTCTTTTGCATAAAATTTGTGAGATTCACCTATGCTGTTGTATGTACTTAAAATTTGTCCATTCTCATTTCTGTGTAGTATTCCATTGTGTGAACATATAACAATTTCTTTATCCATTTATTCGACCTTTGATGGGCTTTTGGGTAGTTTCCAGTTTCTGGCTATTATAAATTGTTCTATGAATATTCTTGAGCATGCCCTTTTGGTGAATGTATGTACAAGGGTACTTTGAAAAGTTTGTGGAAAATAGAATTAAAAATAATATGAATCCTTCCATAAACATTTTGAAGATCTATCATTTACACATCAGTAGGGATGTAGGGTATGTGTGTCTTTCGCCTGGTTTTTTACTTCATATTGTTACTTGATCATTTTCTTACTAGAAACTCACTGTGAGCTTACATTTTAATATCCATTCTGTGGGTGGGGGCCACAGATTACATAACCATGCTCCCATTGATGGACACTTAGATGGTTGGCAACTTGTTGCTCTTGTAAAATGTCATTGTCATGTACATCTGGTGGTGATCAAGGTGGGTGGCTGGGGAGTTTGTTCACATATTCACTGTTTACTAACCACCAAATATGAGCTCAGAGCCTAGGGACACAATGGTGAGCACATAGACCCTGCCATTAAAAGCATCTTGGACTAGAGCTGGGGTCAGCAAGTAACCTGAATGAGGGAGGTGGGCTGGGTATAAATATTTTTTCTTAGAATGTTCAATCCCCTCATTATTTTCTCAATTTTCATAAAGACATATCCCAAGAAATATTTTGCACAAGCACAGCGATGAATGGCAACAGATACTTGGCCTCAGTTTTGGAGAGACAATAGGGAGTGGTGGGGACTGTGGCCAACAGTGCAAGCACATGCCTTAGCTGGAAGTAGCAGCCTCTGCTCAGCTCTCACCACTTCTTGCCCCCTTGTGGGGGGTTGGCAGGCCAATATTTCTCTTTTTCGAGAAGCCACAGATCTGGATTTTAGATAAAATCTCCTGATATTTAAATGTTGGGAACAAATTCAGTTTGTAAAAAATGCACACAGCATGTAAAACAGTGAAAGACTAAGAAAGAATCACGACCAGAGACCAAGGAGACATGGCAACTAGATATAGTGTGCTTTCCTGGATTGGATCCTGGAACAGAAAGAGGACATTCATTAATGGAAAAACTGGTGAAATCCACATGAAAATTGGAGTTAGTAAATAGTAACATACCATTGTTGATTTGCTAGTTTTCAATATGCACCCTGGTGATATAAGATGTCAGTAGGGGGAACGGGGTGGAAGGGTATAGGGTAACTCTCTGTACTATTTTTGGAACTTTTCTGTGTATCTAAAATCATTCAAAAATAAAATATTTATTTAAATACACACACACTGCCTTGGACACTGGATAGTACTGTGCAGGTCATAGTAAGTACATCTGGAGGTGGGATTTAGTTCATGCGCCCTGAGTTTTCCAAGTCCCGTCCTGAACCCCACGAGCCCTCGATCTTTCTCTCTAGCCACCCCTCCCGCCTACCCAAGTCCAGGTGCTTTGCACCTGCTAACCCCAACCCTGTCCTGTGTGACCAGTCTGGGTTCTCCCTCAGGTGGTGCAGAGTCGCGGCACGCGGCGGGCGCTGCGATGCGAGTTGAGCGTGAAGGTGTTTGGGCACGAGCTGAGCTTCGTGAACTGCGGGGCGATGGGGAGCCACATGAAGCGCCAGTCCCTGAACCTGGCCGAGCTCACCATCCAGCTCCTGAAGGTGCCTCTCCCCCGCCCCCTGCCGATTCCCCTTTGACACTTTGGCAAAGCACTTAAACACATGAAATTTGTAGCCAGACTGCCCAAGTTCAAATCCCGGCTCCACTGCTTTCTGGCTATGTGGCCTTGGGTAGGGACCTCTTTTATCTGTTTGTGGCCTCAGTTTCCTCATCTGGAAACTGGGGATAATGTGCCATCTGAAGATAACTGAGGCCCACAGCCAGGGTGTCCACGTGCCCTGTCACAGTTCTTTGGCCACAGGGGCAGGAGGTGCAGGTGAACCGGAGGCTGGGCCTGGCTACAGAGGAGCTTGTCTTTCCCACCGTGTCCGGCCTCCCAGCCCGGCTGACCCTAAACGCCTCGGTCGCCATCAGCATCCGGGTCCGAGGAACTGCCGACTTCCAGCAGCGCTCAGATTTCTCTGTGAACGGTTATGTCAAGCCCAGGTAGCTGGCTCCTCAGGGGTGGGATGGGTAGGGGATGGGGGCCTCTCCCTGTAGAGGGCTGCAGAGAGCTGGGGGTGCTGGGGTATCTGCATGGGTCAGAGGGGATCCCTCTTCTGCAGCCCACCCCTAATTCCATTGTTTATTATGCCAAGAGACTGTGTGAGGAGATCCTGGGCTCTAGGCCCACTTTACTGAGGCTCAGAGAGATGAAGGCACGTGCCACGGTTGCACAGCATCTGTGGTCTGATGCTGCAGCCCCATGCTCTTCCCTCCACTCCACTCTGTTCCAAGGGGAAGTGAGGAGAGGAGCCACCGAGATGAGCCAGCCCCAAGCCCACTGGACCTGGATGGTCACCCAGGGGGGCAGCCGTTTCCTATTCCACTAATTGGTGAGGAAACTGAGGCTCAAAGCAAGGATGGCCATTGCCCAGCGCCACATGGCATGAAAACATTGGAGCAGAATTTGTGCAATGCTTGGACCAATTCTGGAGCCTGTCATGGCCTTGATTCTGGGTGTCTGTCCCTGGCCACTCAGCTGAGCTGTCCTTGTGTCTGGGTCTGACGTGGGGAACATGGATGTCCTGCACAGGCTGCTCTTTGTCACAGATTGGACTCACACTCAGACAGCCAGGGTTTATCCCAGCCATATCCTGTGTCCCAGCTGTGTGACCCAAACAGGTAGTTTCACCTCTCTGAGCCTCTGCTTCCCCATCTGTAAGATGGGCTAATGATGGTAGGGATTGGAAAGTGCTTGGCGCACAGGGAGCATGTGGCCAGCGGGGCCGTGGTGCAGGGCTGCTCTGGCTCAGGCCTGCGGAGGACAGCCAGGGGGTTGTGGCAGGCAGGTCGGTGCTGGGGTTGTGGCTGCTGGGACCTGCGGGATACAGCTGGCCTGTGCCTCTCCCTCAGTGCCCTGCTCCAGATTTCGGCTCAGATGGGCACAGCAGGCGCCCTGGGGCAGGCCGGGCTAAGGTGGGTGACTGGCATCCGTGGCAGTGCCAGCCTGGACGGTGGGATCCAGGCGAGAAAGGGCCGGGACCTCAAGGTGCATCTGAACACACCCGAGGAGGTTGTGGAGCTGCTAAACTTCAGGTGGGCGTCCTGCACCCGTGGGAGGGAGCCGTGAGTTTGTGTCTGAGTGTGAGCGTGTGTGAGATCAGATGTGTGAGAGGGTGTGAACGTGTGTGCATGAGCACTCGCATGCATGTGTGAGAATGTGTATGATCATGTGTGCATGTGAGTGTGCCATGAGCATGTGTGTGCGTGAGGGTGTGCCTTGACTGCATGGTGATTGTGTGTCTGTGAATGTGAGCGTGCGAGAGAGCACATGTGCACATATATCAGTGAGGGTGTGTGTGTCTGTGACAGGGACTGGATGGGGTGCTGCCCTGCTCAGGGTGGAATTTGCCCCAGTGCCAAGTTCTAGTAGCTCAGGAAGTTATTCATCCTGACGAATGAGTGAAAATGGCTTGTCTGGGCTGTTCCTCTTTCCCCACCCAGCTCTAAGCTGTATCTTATCACTGGGGATGATGTGAGGAGCCTCAATCACGTCCACAGCCCTTCCGAGGCCCAATCCTGTACCAGCAAGGAAGGTAGGCAGCAGGGCCTGTGTGCCATCGTCCCAAATGGGCTTCCTGGGGGCTGAGGAGGATGATGTCTGCTCCAAATCCCAGAGTTGCTCTTCTGCACTAAAAGTATTTATTCCCCTCCACTCAATGATTCCTCTTCTAGAACCCTACCTTATGGGAGCAAACCAAAATCACTTTTAAGTGCCTTGTGCACAAAGATGTCCATTGCATTATAATTTATGAGAGCAAAAATTGGAAGCAACTCAAATATCCAGCAGTGGGCAAAATGGCTTATTAAAAAGGCCTGTGGACTAAGTATAGGATTTTACATTTTTTAATGGTTAAAAAAGAAAAGAATAATATTTCATTACATGCAAATTTTATAAAATTCAAATATCAGTGTCTAGAAACAAAGTTTTATTGGAACACGACCACATCCATTCAGTTACATATTGTCTGTGGCTGCTTTTGTCCTATAACAGTAGAACTGACTAGTTGTGACAGAAACCATATGGACTGCAAAGCCTAAAATGTTTACTCTCTGACCCTTTACAGAAAGTTTGCTGACTCCTGATCTAGTAAATTATTGATATGTCTCATAGCTTTTAAGCCCTGTAATGAATGAGGTATTTTAATAACATGAGAAAATTCCTTGATAATAACATCAAGTGAAAAGTGATAAAATTTTAAAAATATGATCTCAACTGAGTAAAAAGATGGGAAGGGAATATTCCACATATAGCAGATCTCGCAATCATTTTTTGAATAGTGTGGGTGAGGGGTCTATTTAATGAACAGATACAAATTTTCTGGATGATTTTCTTTTCTTTCTTTCTTTTTTTGTATGTAAGTTGCATCTTGGATTGTAAATAAACTTTTGAAAGTACAGTTGGCCCTCTGTGTCCATGGGTTCCGCACCCACAATTTAACTGTGTATTAAAAATATTTTGGAAAAAAAAAACCAATACAAAACAATACAACACCAAAAAATAATACAAATAAAAAATACAGTGTAACAACTATATACATAGCATTTGAATTGTTTTAGGTATTATAAGTAATCTAGAGATGATTTAAAGTATAAGGGGACGTGTGTAGTTTATATGCAAATTCTACAGCATTTTATATCAGGGACTTGCAGATTTAGGTAACTGTGGGGGGTCCTGGAGCCAATCCCCCTCCAATACTGAGGGATGACTATATAACATATGTACAGAAAACTTTAAAAAACGTTTCTGAACTTTCTAATGTTCTGCAATGACTATGTTTTCGTAATCAGGGTAAAAATACTTATTATTGTAGGTCAGGCACTGTTCTAAACACTCACTGACCTGTTCATGCTCACAGCTACACAACGAGGCAGGAACTATTATCATTACCAGTTTACAGATGAGAAGCACAGAGCACAGAGATGTTAAGTAATTTGTCCAAGGTCACATCACACAGCTGGGAAGTTTGAAAGTTGGAATTTGAACCCAGGCAATCTGCTCACAAGCCTGTGTATTACACTGTACTGCTTTATACTCTTAAAATCTAACTAGGGGTTCTCAACCAGGAGCCTTTTGCCCCCTAGGGGACATTTGGCAATGAGGTGGGGGGTTTGCCACTGGCATCTATTGGAGAGAGGCCAGGGATGTTGCTAAATGTCCCATAATGCACAGGACAGCCACATAAAAGAGAATGATCCAGCTCATAACATCGATAGTGCTGAGAGGTAGAGAAAGTCTGGTCTACACAGTACTGCCTTACAGGATTAATGTCTACACGATCCTGTTTCTCAAAAGAAATTAAGAGAAGCTCTTTCTTTGCTGATGTGGACAGCCATGGGTCCACAGCCCAAGTGCCTGGCTCTCTGGGGACCTGTGCTGCCTGGTTGCCTTTCTCCGCAGTGTCCGACACCTGGGGCTGGCGGCTGTGCACTGAAGTGACCTGGCCGGCAGCTGGTCAGCCCTACCTGCTCTCAGTGCCTGTGTTTGCGGCTGTGACGCTGAAGAAGCAGGACCCGGGGCTCCGACAGTATCTGCTAGAAGCTGCCTGTACCCTCGACCCCCAGGTGGACCCTATGCAGTGGCCCCTTATTTCCCGGCAGGTTGTGGGTCTCCCTAGGTCAACACTGAAGCTCACCCACAGGGACATGGGCTCCTCTCTGGGGCTCTTGAGCCGGGCTGGTGCTGCTGTAGGCTCCCTCCTGCCCCAGGAAATTTGTACATGCTGATTCTCTATCTAGGGCTCTATGACTTATTAACTCTGAATCAATCTTCAGATCTCAGTTCAGGGGTCACCTCCTCAGGGAAGCCTTCCCTGGTTACTCCAAAGTACATCATGTTCCTTTGTTACTTGCTATAACAAGACCACGTTTCTTATTTTTGATCACTTTTATGTTTGTTTGTGAAGATGGTTAATGTCTGTGCTTCCCACTAGTCACTCAGTTCCTGGGGACAGGTCTAGGGCCTGATTTTCTCACCCATGTCCCCAGTGCCTGCTCCAGAGTAGGCACTCAACACCCTCCTGTCTAACCTCTCAGATCCCACTCTTGTGTCCTTACCATCTGTTCTCCACCAGTGGCCAGACATACCTTCCAAAACCCCAAATGGATCGTGTCCCTGCTCTGCTCAGAACCCTCTGACAGCTCCCATTACCCTCAGAGTAGAAGCCAGACCCCCTGACGGACAGGCTTTCCATGATCCAGCTCCTGCTGGCCTCTCCCCACAACTCTTTACCAGGCTCATTGCCCTTCAGACACTCCAGCATCTTTTCTCTCTGCCAAGCACATTCCTGCCCCAGGGCCTTTGCGCTAGCTCTTTCCTCTGCCGGGAACGCTCTTGTCCCAGACATCCACCTAACTCCTTCCCTTGCTGCCTTCAAGTCTCATCAGATCACCCTCCCACCCCCCCACCAGAGGTGACTTTCCCTGACTACCCTGTCTAGAACAGTGACGCCTGGTAGACCCCTTTATCTGCTGACTTTGTAAGCACAGCACCACTTATCAGCCGCCGTCTTACCTGTTCTCGTGTCTGGTGGGCATGTGCCTCCCCACTGGGATGTAGGCTCTACGAGGGCAGGGACTGTGTATCTACGCTCAGCCATCCTCCCTGTGCTAGACGCTGTCCTTCATACACAGCAGTGACTCTTTCCTGGTGGCGAGGACACATATGCTGACTCAGAGTCATAGAAGGGGGCTTGTGTCTGAGACTGCATTTTCCCAGGAGCAGACTTGAGCCTAGGATTGGGGTAAAAGTGATTTATTAAGAAATGCTCCAGGAGGACCAGTAAGAGAATGGAGAAGTTAGGACAGGAAAGGAGGGATGTCAGCTGAAGTCACAGCCTTAGCCTGATCCCGTGGGGGGCCCTGGAGCATAAGGTGCATCTCAGAGTTTGTCCCCTTCAAGCTGCGCAGCTGGGATTTTTGACTCCAGTGCTGGAAGGAGATGTTCTGGGGGACTCAGATGCCAGCCACAAAGAGCAAAGCTTGCAAAAGCAGGGACATGGACACATGGAGATGGTTAAAGGGACGCGCAGGGACTACGCAGGGTACCGTGCTTCTCCCTGGCCATTTGCTGAGTAAATTGAGACCCTATAGCTGGTCCTGGGCTCTTGCACAGAGCTTTGCTCTTCCCCAGGATACTATTTTAGAGCCCAAAAGATCCGTGATTGGGTTCTTCTCTTGCAATGTCAAGGATGAGGATGAGAGTTCCAAGTTTTGAAGGTTGGGGGTCTTCTCTTGGGAAGAGAGGGAACCTCAGGACCAGTAAGGGTGCTTTCTCAATCTCGAGGACTCTGCTGTTTCCAGAAGGACAGCTGGTTCCCAGAGGCAGCCATGGCCCACCTGTTCATGGGCACACCCGGGTCGGAAGTGCCAAGGGACATCGGGGTGGACATCAGCTACAGCGTGCCCCAGAGGAAGTTCCGGCTCAGGCTTCTCCATCCCAAGAAGAAAGTCGAGCTGGACGGTAATGACAATGCCCCTTCCTGCTCACCATGCCCCTTGCCACATGCCAGACCCAGGGCCAGCCACCTGTAGCATGGTATTCTGTGAATTCCTCAGGGACCTTCTGAGGTCAGCACTAAGTCCAGCCCCATTTTATGGGCCAGGAACCACAGGCTCAGAGATAAGAAAACCAGCAGGAGGCTCCCCAGCAGACACCGGGGCAGATCAGGATGTCCAACCCTGGTCTCTAAACTCTTATTTTGTCCCCCAGGAAAGATTGAGGCTCTCGGGAGGACCCATTCGGGTCACTTAGAGCTGATACTGGACGACAGGGATGTCTACTACATCAAGGTAGGCTCCACTTTCTCGGCCCACCTGTGCCAGCACCTGCCACCTGCCTGGGCATTTCCCACTCCAGTCCCAGAGTCCTGGCTTAGCAATTGCCAATTCCTTTGGAGTTTTATCTGTTCTTTCTCTTCTACCTAGCAGATAACATTTGTTAGTTCTTGCTACCCAGAGCAGTATAAAGAAGAAAAAAAAAAAAGAATGGGCTCAAATCCCACCAGTGTTGACGTTAAAAATTGATAATATTAATAACACAGAAATTCAGAGTAAAGCATAATATAGCAACTTAAAGCATGCCAGTCCCCAGATTTCTTGCAGAAATTTTGATGCACAAGGCATCTGCATTCGTTTCCCAGGACAGTTATACTAAAGGACTCCGAATTGGGTGGCTTAAACACCAGAAATTTATTCTCTCACAGTTCTGGAGGCTGGAAGTCCAAAGTCAAGGTGTTGGCAGGGTTGGTTCTTCCTACGGCTGTGAGGGAGGGTCTATTTCAGGTTTCTTTTCCAGTTTTTAGTGGCCGCAGGCATTTCTCGGCTTGTAGCTGGTCTTCTCCCTGTGTTTTTACGTCGTCTTCCCTCTGTCTGCGTCCACGTTTCCTCTCTGTATAAGGACACTAATCATATTGGATTAGGACTTGCCCTGATGACCTCATCTGAATTTGATCATATGCAAAGACCCTGTTTCCAAATGAGGTCGCATTCACAGGTACTGGGGGTTAGGATTTCAACATTTTCTTCAGGGGGCACTCTGTTCAACCCATAACATTATAGATTCGCAAAACTTTTTAGTCTTGGGTTTTTGGTTTTTATTCTTTTCTAACCTGAAAAGATCACACCCTATTCTTTGTTTGCATCAAAAATGTTTCTTGGCAGTCTTTTTATATCAGCATGTGCTGGTACAATTTAAATTTTATTTAATTTTTTAAAAAAGGTAATGCATTTAATGATTCAAAGTTCAAGAGATATGAAAGGATACAGAACTAAGTAGCCACTAGCACACATGGTTATTTAAATTTGTTAATTAAAGTTAAAGAAAATTAAAGATTCCAGTGCTCAGTTGTATTAGCCACATTTCAAGTGCTTTATAGACACATGTGGCTATGGGACATTTCCCTCATTGCAGAAAGCTCTGATCGGTGCTAGTGTAGAGTTAAAAACTCTCCCACCCCTTCCCAAAGCCAACCACTGTTAGTTTTTTGTGATTCCTTTCAGAGATAATAGATGCATACAATCAGCAAATAGGATCGGTAATATCTCTCACCCCACCACCTTTTTAAACATAAAAATGTCTTCTGTGTAGTCAGAATGGCTTAATAGTTCATGGAATAGAATTTAGTGAGGTTGTTCTGTAGTGAAGGGCTCTTGAGTTTTACCAGGTTTCTGCCCTTAAAAATGTGCTGCCACGTACAACTTTCTGTCTGCAGAGTAAATTTTTTTTTTTTTTTTTTGGCGGCCGGCTGGTGGATCCAAACCCTTGATGCTCTACTGAGTGAGCTAACCAGCCAGTTCTGCAGAGTAAATTCTTAACAGTGGAATTCCTGGGCCAAACAGTGTGTGCATATTTATCTTATTAGGTGCTTTTCAAGGGTTCTTAACCAGGTTACATGGATGGAACGTGGTGGGCTCTTGAAGCCCCTTCGATTGTGTGAAGGTTCATGTCTGCCCACTCTCCTAGGGACAGGGTTTAAAACTCCCATCTGATTCTCAAGCAGGTGTGTGACTTCAAAAAGGGTAAAAAGGGCAGTTTTTGATGTGCTCCTGACAAGCACAACCTTTGGGCACCTCTGGCAGTGAATCTTGTGATTCTGCCTGAGTTTCCAGTGACTTCTCAGTGAGGTCCAGAGTTGTGTATCTGAAGTCAGGGCTGAATTTTTTTGCTGTGTAAACACTCTCCACTTGCAGCACTACTGTCAGTCTGGGTGGGAAGAAGACCAATGTTAGGGACTCCAGACTCCTGTACCCAGCTCAAAGACTCCAGACTCCTGTACCCAGACTCCTCTAGACTCCAGACCCCTGTACCCAGCTCAAAGACTCCCTTCTCCTATGGCATTCATACCCACCTAATGCACTGGACAATTTGCTTATTTATTTATTGTCTCTTTCCCATGAGAACATAAGCTCCACGAAGACAGAATTTGGTGTGTGTGTCTTTTTCATTGAGGTGTATCCCCAGTATCTAGCACATTGTAAATACTTGACAAGTAGTCATTGAACAAATAAACAAAGACAATGGAAAATATGGGTTTCATTACCATTCCTTGTCTCCCAGTCCCCCTTGTCAAAGGCAACCAACATACCCAGTTTCCTTGTGGCCCTGCACTAGTCTGTGTGCACGTGTGGGCATATATGTGAGTAGGTGTGTGTGCGTGAGTGCGTACGTGAGCATACAGACACACACTTTCCCTTACTCTTTACAAAACAGGTACAGGAGGGCTGGCCAGTTAGCTCAATCAGTTAGAGCGTGGTGCTGATAACACCAAGGTCCAGCGTTCAGATCCCCATACCGACCAGCCACCAAAAAACAAAGTAAAAGAAAATTTTAAATAATTTTTAAGAATAAAGAAAAACAGATGCAGGCCCTCCACTCTGCACCCTGCTCCTCTCACTGAATGGTGTGTCCTGCCAATGGCTTTATCTGGTCTGTATCAGAGACTGTTTGGCGGTGGCCGGTTTTTTTAAGGTGCAGCCTAAGAATAGGGTGATCTTAGAAATTCTCATCCAAACCAGGACACCTAGCAGTTATAACTGTGTCAGGTCACCAGGTGTAAACCAGGGCTCCCCAGGTAACCAGGAACCTCTGGATGCCCCATCACTGCAGGCCTGGCGGGGGGGAGCTGAAATGGAATTTTCCCCCACATCATTCTCAAATCCCATAAACTTTGAGCTGAGTTAAGCCCAGGTCTGCTGGTTTGCATACATGAACTCATCTGCCTCAGTTTCCTCATCTCATATGGGGTTACCAAGAGGACTGAAGAAGGAACCTCAGGTCTGCTGGAACAGGTTCCAGAAAGTTCCAGAGCTCTGGCTGTTACTGTTATTGTCACGGGTCTGGGACAGGTGGAACCAGAAGTTCTCCAAAGGCAAGTAAATGCTTCTAGGCTGCAGACAGCTCTCTGGGGAGCAGCAGAAAGGTCCAAAAGGAGGTGAAGGCAATTAGCACTTGTGCATTTAGCAAACATCTTGGAGTTCTGGAAATAGTGCGTGAGTCTCTCACTAGCAAGCAGGATCAGTACCGAAGGCCATTAACTAAGCTCTGACTCCTGCCTTCTGTCCAGTCCCAGTTCATGTGGTCAGGGTAGGGCTTTTAGGAGACAAATCTGTCCCCCAGGATGATGCTAGGGCCTTTGCAGGGCCGGAGTGACCTGCGGCTAGCAGCAGGTGGCAAGGCACAGCAGTTCGAGGCCCAGCTGGAAGTGAAACTGGTGACAGCAGGCAGCCCTGTGGTCCTTGCCGGGAACCTCACGTGGCAGGCGGGCAGGAAGTTGGCGTTCTCGGCCTCACTGAGCTACCTGCTGAATGACCAGGCCCATGTGACAGGTAGGAGGTGGGACCCTTCTCCCTGACCCCTCTCGTGTGGCCAGGCAAGCTAAGTTGCCCCTTTTGTAATCCCCACCACCCCAACCCCCCTTAATATTAACATCCCATCCCAGGAAAAATCCAGGCTCCAGATCTATTCACAGCTCCTGTGTGAACCCCCAGACTGCCTTCCACTCCGCCAACTGCCCCCCATGAACCTTAAAACAGCAGCTTTTGGACTGTTTTGATTCTGACCCACAGTAAGAAACACATTTAGCATTTTATCCTAAAATGTACATAGCACTGTTTAAAATATTGAACACACAGCCTGGCCTGGGCCCTGAGCGGTGGGAGCAGCCTCTGGGCCCCGGCTGTGCTCCTCATAGGAGTTCCAGAAGCTTCCATGGGAAGGTCAGGAGCCAGGGCTGGGGGGACGCTTGGAGCGGTGGCTGTTGACCACCTGGCATGGGGGTTTTGGGAATTTTAACAACTGGCCCTGGTCTACCAGTGTGTCTGGCTGAATGCCAGTGTTGCAGAAACAAAACTTTCAGAAAGTGAAATTTACCTGTCGGTCCGTGATACGCTGTTCTTTCTCTTCTGTCCCATTTGATTTTGTTTCATTCCACTTTATTTAAACACTTCTGGCTGGGACCCACGAAAAAGTGACTTTTGGGGTTGCCACCGACAGTGCAGATAACATTGTGGGTGACCTAGGTGTTGGCTCTTTGAGGAGTCCCACATCCCCAGGCCCCCTTCTTACCTGGGGCTGGGGGGTGTCAGTCTGGGGGGCTGGCCACACATGCCTGCCACCCACTCCCCCCACAGTGCTGCTGGAGAAGAAGGCGGAGGACAGGCTGCGGGTGGTGGCCCTGGCCGGCGAGCTCTTGGTGCCAGGACTGGTGGGGCTGCATGTCCTGGGCCTGCTGCAGCAGCGGGTTCGCCTCTGGACCAGCTCCCTAAGGATCAAGTATGGCCTCCTGGGTATGATGCTGTAGGCTTAGCTGGGACAAGGATGGGGAGAGGGGATGGGACCTGCACCGTCTCCTGGGGCTGTGGCTCTGTAGGCTAAGGTGTTGCCGTCACCATGGGTTTTTTGGGCTTACCACACTGCTCTTTGGCCAATTAGTCATTCCTTTGGCTCTGAATGGGACCAACCACCTGCCCATTAAAAAAAAAAGTGTGCATTGGGGGACAGTCTCCATCTCTTGAAACTTTCCCATTGACAGGCTTCAACGGAGTGACATTAAGTGGGGCAGAGCTGGGGGGCTTGGCTGAGGGCAGGCTGGGCTAGACCCTTTTCTCCTTGGAGCCCTGGTGGAGGGCCGTCTGGCAGAGGAAGGGCAGGGGTCTTTGGGTGGCCCTGTGCAGGTCAGGAGACAGAGCGGGCGCACGAGTGTAGCACCAGCCAGAAGCTGCAGACGGAGAACAGCTCAGAGGCTGCCTACAGGCTGGAGCTGGGCCACGAGTTCCACTGCACGCAGATCCCAGCGCTGAGCCACAAGGTGGGTGCCCAGGCCGGGTGGGGGGTCTGGAGAGAGTGCCAGGGTCAGGGAAGTGTTGATTTGAGTACCCTGAACTCATCCTCGAAGAGATGGATTTGCTCCCAGTCATGCAGTTAGATGAGAATGGATCTGGGGTTGGAACTTCAGCCTCAGTCTCCTGTCTATTCATTCAGTTGATCTTTGTTAAATACCTACTATATGCCCAGCCCTGGGGGGAGAGCTGTGGCCAAGGCAGCACCTGGTCCCTGTCATCTCATTGCTGGGCAGGGGCAGAAAGTGAGAGTAAAAAAAAATCAAGGGAAACTTGATTGCCGTAGGGGGTAAACAGAGCAGAGGCTGGTCTGAGCAGAGGGGAGTCTAATTTGGGTGGGGCAATGGGGAAGGCCTCTGGGAAGGAAAATATGAGGCTGGCTGGTTATCTAAGTGGTTAGAGCATGGTGCTGATAACACAAAGGTCCAAGGTTTGATCCCTATACTGACCAGCCCTCCCCTGCTTCAAAATGAGAATATGTATGAGACAGTTCTGTTCCCACGGAAGCATGCTCCAGGCAGAGGGGACAGCAAGTGCAAAGGTCCTGGGGCAGGAAGGACAATGGAGCAGTTAAGGACCCATCAGGCTGTCAGAATGGCTGGAAGGGCATTCTGTAAAAGTAAATTTAAACAATTTACTTGTTTAAAGTTGGCCTCTCCCACTGGCCTGTTGCCCCCCATGAGGGTGGGGCCTGTTTCTTCTGCCTCGTTCATCCCTGGTACCTGGTGCTTAGCCTGCACCTGGTCCCTGACTGGTACTCAGGGAAAATGTGTTCAATGAATGAATAAATGAGTGAGCCTGTGAGAAGGCAGCAGAATCCCAGGAATGTGCAGGTTGAAATCCTGATCCATAGGCTGGCCGGTTAGCTCACTTGGTTAGAGTGTAGTGTCGATAACACCAAGGTCAAGAGTTTGGATCCGCGGATCGGCCAGCCCCCAAAAGAAACCCCGATCCTTGTAAGTTCTGTCCAGTGAGTCGGGGTCAGGGGCTGCTGCAGAAGACTGGAAAGTGGTGGTTTGGGGTTTCTGTGAAACAGATTAGGCTCATTTCCCCAGGGTGCCCGGCTGGCTGCTGGCTCTTGCAGCTTTTTATCAGGGCCTTGACTAGGGTGAGGCAAGTGAGACTCTCACCTTGGGCCCAGATTCATTTAAACTCAGTCATCAAGATGAATCATATGGTAGTTTCCCTTTATCTGCAGTTTTCCATTCCAGGGTTTCAGTTACTCGCTGTCAACTGCGGCCTGAAAATATTAAATGGAAAGATTCCAGCAATGAACAATTCATCCATTTAAAATTGCTCGCTGTCCTGGGTAGTGTGATGAAATCTCACACCATTCCAACCAGGACATGACTCATCCCTTTGTCCAGCGTATCCGCGCTGTAGACGCTCCCCGCCCGTTAGTCACTTAGTAGCCGACTCAGTTATCACATGGACTGTTGCAGTATCACAGTGCTTGCAGTCAAGGTCAATAGCTACATCACTCACCTCCCATCATGTGGCATTTATCATGTCACTCACAAGAAGAATGATACAATACAAGATATTTTGAGAGAGAGACCGCACTCACATAACTTTTATTACAGTATATTGTTATAATTGTTCTGTTTTATAATTACTTTTTTTTTTTTTTGGCGGCTGGTCGGGGTGGGGATCTGAATCCTTGACCTTGGTGTTGCAATACCACACTAACCAACTGAGCTAACCTGTCGTCCCTCTATAATTACTTATTGTTGTTAATCTCTTATTCCTGATTAATAAATTAAACTTTATCATAGGTATGTATGTATAGAAAAAAACATAGTGTATCTACGGTTTGGTACTATTTGCAGTTTCAGTTATCCACTGGGGGTCTTGGGATATATTCCCCATGGATAAGGAGGGACTACTGTATTCTAATGCACAAAATCAAAATCATGACCCCCAAGATCCTGTGCCTCCTGCAGAACTGTCTCCCCAGAAAAGCAAGCCTGTATCCCCAGGGTGTGGTGGGAAGAGGCCCAGGAAGAGGCCTGGTCGGGGATCTCACTGCTGCTGCATGTCCCCAGCTCCAGCTCCGGCACGAGGTGGGCTCAGGCCACCTGCACTCGCAGCTGGAGGTGAGCTACGGGAAGCACTGGGACCAGAGTAGCAACAGGAGGCGCCTCCGCGTCAGCCTGACCTTCAGGAACGACTCGGCGCCAGCCCTGAGCAATTACTTCATGGAGGTGAGCCCAGCCACCATCACAGAGCCGTGTCCCTCAAGTCCCCCTCTCCACATGTCCCTTTGGGCCTTGGTCGCAAGGACGCAGGCTTCTAAAACTTAGGCTTGGTGACATTACTTTCTGCATCTCCAGTCCCTGTGCCCCTGGGGCATCAAACATTTGCTGGAGTGATTGGGAAACTCAGATATCCAACTATTAAAATGCATTTTGGAAATGGGTTCACTTTTAGGTTTGCTGGAGGGTTCTTTTTGGTAAGTCAAGAAGGACCGAGTGCTCAGCTGGACAGGTGACAAGTGTGCTCTTATAAAACACACACTTAACTTTGCGTGTTTATTTTTAAATTTAAAATTTATTTTTATTTTAAATTTTAATTGTAGTATAATATGTGTGACTTAAAATTTATCATGTTAACCATTTTTAAGTGTGTAATTCAGTGGCATTGGGTACATTCACATTCTTATGCATCTGTCAGCACCATCCATCTCCAGAACCTTTTCATCTTCCAAACTGAAACTCTGTACCCAGCAAACACTAAAACCCCTTTACCCTCTCCCCCGAGCCTGTGGCAACCACCATTCTACTTTCTGTTTTATGATTTAGACTATTCTCGGTACCACATGTAAGTGGAATCACACGGTATTCGTTCTTTTGTGTCTGGCTTATTTCACTTAGCATAATGTCCTCAAGGTTATCCATGTTGTAGCATGCATCAGAATTTTCTTCCTTTTTAGGGCTGAATAATATTCCACTGTCTGCATATACCACATTTTGTTTATCCGTTCATCCATCGATGGACACATGGGTTGCTTTCAACTTTTGAGTATTGTGTATAATGGTGCTACGAACATGGGTGTACAACATCTGTTTGGGCCTTTGCTTTTAATTCCTTTGGGCATATACTAAGAAGTGCAATTGCTGGGTCATATGGTTATTATGTTTTTAACTTTTTGAGGAACCTTCATGCTGTTTTCCATAGTAGCTGCACTGTTTTACATTCCCACCATCAGTGCACAGGAGGGTGGATTCAGGAAAGGTGAAGGGAGTGTTTAAGTCAGGGCGAATGGCATGAACAGGCAGGGTGGTGGGAAACTGTACAGTGTGCGTGGCAGGGGGCTGTCTTGAAACTGCCAGGGACAACCTGTAATCCAACAAAATCAGGTTTAATCACTTGCTGCAATGGGGGAGATCACACACCAGAAGAACTATGAAGCATCTTGCCAAACAACGGGAAGGATGGAATTGCCCTAGGATTTGGGAGAACAGTGGAGTTTTGGTAAAATTTAAATGAAGTAGTGCTTTGATGGATTCAGAGCAAAGCAGGGCTGTGAGCAAAGGGTCCCACATTAGCCTGTTCTGCAAAGTGGCGCTAGGGTCCTGATGTCCCAGAAACTGCAAAGTTAAGGTTGATAAGGGCTGTTGTGTTCAGAAAGCCCTTATCAGGTGCTCTGCAGCTGGGCAGGAAATCCAGGCAGCTTTTCTGTGTCCAGGTGACTTAGATCCTCCAGGTGAGAGTAGGATGTTTTATTCTCACTGGTATAACTTCAAACAACAAAGTTTCTGGTAATGATTTTATAGAACACATTTTCTCAATGAATAAAAAAGGCAGAACTCACTCAAATATATATATATATATATATATATATTTTTTTTTTTTTTAACTTTCTCACCTGTATAATTAGACCATACAGGGTGAGAGGTGGGATGGCAGGAGCTGCACTGGGATGGTGAGCTGGGGCACGTCCTGACAGCCAGGGAGCTCAGGCTGACCCCTGGCTGGAGAGTCAGTGGTATGTTCTAGGCCAGGAGTGGTGTGATCAATTGGCACGTTGGGGGTGGGCATTCTCCAGTTTGTGCTGCAGGTGCCTGAGAGGAAGGTGGATTGCCGCACACAGCTGTACCATTTGAGCCTCTGCCAGCCCCATGTGGAGAGCAGCACACACCTGAAGGTGCAGCTCAATGAGCGTCTGCCCTTCGTGGCTGGCTTGTGGTGGAAGGACACCTCCCGGGCCACCCTGTGGAAGTGGGAAGGTGAGTGTCTGCTATGAAGCCTCCTGGGCTACAGGCTCAGATTTCTGGCCTCCAGGCCTTTGCTCGAGCCATGCCCACTACCTGGAACACCCTTTCCTTTTGTTTGCTGGGCTAACTCAAGACTCAAACCTTTAATGTGTCCCATGACACTTGTAGGAAGGCCTCTGCCTTCTTCTCCAATCTTATCCCACCCCAGTCTCCGCATTGCCCATTATCCTTCAGCCCTACTGGCCTCTTTTCTGTTCCTCAAACATACCTCAGGGCCTTTGCACTTGCTATTCTTGCTCTCTGGAAAACACTTTCTCTTACTCTAAAAAAGCAGATTTATCCTTGAATTAATTTTTTCAATTAATTTTTATTTTTATTGAAGTGATGCATAGTTTAAAAAGTGAATCTGACAATGAGTTGGTCATTGTGGAAGCTGGGTTAGTGTTACGTGGGAGCACATTATATTATACTCTCTGCTCGTGTATGTACTTGAAATACATTTTTAAAAAGTGAAAATTTATAAAAATATTAATTCTCCTCCTCCCATCTTTTTACCCCCACATCTTGCTTAAAAGAAACCACTGTAAATTCTTTTAGCTGTTTCTTCTGTTATACCCTCCATCTTTTAAAATAATGTAACATGCTGTTATTTCTTGATTTTTCTGTTTTAGGCATTTTCCATAGATTTATTATTAGAGAAGATGAGAATTTAACTTTTACATTAGCCCTTTTCAAATATCTATTTCTCTCCATCCCCTTAAAACGAGTTCCATTTTGTTGGGGCTGACTGGTTAGTGCACTTGGAAGAGAGGTGTGCTGGTAACACCAAGCTCACGGGTTCAGATCCCTGTACTGGGCAGCTGCCAAAAAAAAAGTTACATTTTGTTAACGTTCAATATTTGCATAATCGTGACTCTGTAAATGTCCTTCCTAGCTGAGACATGTGGTGTGCTATGATTATAACTTTTTGTTTTTCCTGGAGTTGTCATTGCCTTTTTTCCTCCTATTTGATTAGTTTTCTATTTTTCTCCTACTAATTATTCCAACACTGCCAAACTCTTCTTCAGATCGTCAAACACTTCAGATTGTTGATCAGCTTCCATTAGTTATGATATTTTTCTTGGAGACCCTGTTCCTATAGCCTGTGTCTCTCTGCTCCAGTGCAGATTAGTTCCATGGCTGTGGTCCTGGGGCTTCCCTTTGCCATCATCCTGGGCATTCCTCTCACTTCCCTTCTGGGTCACAGCCTCTGTTTTTTGTCAAACACTTCAGATTTGTTGATCAGCTTCCACTAGTTATGATATTTTTCTTGGAGACCCTGTTCCTGTAGCCTGTGTCTCTCTGCTCCAGTGCAGATTAGTTCCATGGCTGTGGTCCTGGGGCCTCCCTTTGCCATCATCCTGGGCATTCCTCTCACTTCCCTTCTGGGTCACAGCCTCTGTTTT